ATCATGAAGCTTAAGGTCATTGTGTCTGATTACCAATCAGACATAATTTCCATTGTTTTAATCACTCAAGGCCATGGTAACTATATTTTAGAAAAGCCTCCTAAAATTATTCATACGACAATTTCTCATGAACTGTACTACCGATACACCTAAAGCCCTTCAGATGCTTAAAGCGGGAGAGTCGTCACGTGCCCATAGCGTGTCATTGTTTACAAACAAGCATCTACCTATGAGCATTTGCATTTTTAGAGCGTGTTATCGTGGCTTGGGACTCCAGCACGTGTGCAGGTGATGACCCTCTCGCTTTAAATATGTTTTTCATAGATAATACAAAGTATGAATGTAACTTTAATACATGCTTCTCCATCTCCTGTAATACAACAAAAACACTAACCGGACAACTAGATCATTATGAACTCATTTTACCCGAAAATGTTTATTCTGTTTTGCTTCCTGTGCTTAATTCAAATCTTTGTGACAAAAATACAATGGTAATCCCATTCGGCATTGGCAAATTTCTCTCACTTTTCATGACAATTGCTGGCAAAGTTCTTTAATGCTATTGTACTGAAGCTCAAAAAACAAAACTGCGTTTTTGTGATTTTTTACATCAACTGTATTTTCTGTATTGTCAAAACACTGAACTATGAATAATACGTTTGACGAAAACACACAATACCTCAAATTTAGGGGTAAAATGTTTAAAATGAGCATGCCATCGAAGACAAACTCAATGCGCGTTAATTACTATTTTGCACCATATTTATTATACCCGGTACTACCTGCAATGACACATTTGTAAGTTACTGACCTTATCTGAAATAACACTCTAAGAACAACTGTTTTTTATTGCAGCTAATAAAAATAAAAATAGTCTGCAGTAATATGAGCAAGCTCAGAAATGCATTCTATATTCAAATTATTTCAATTTGTTATTTATTTTTAAAAGTTTCCGTTGACTGCGAGATCTTGCATAATATATGAAGTACACTGACGAAACATATGTGCAAGAATTAAACAATTCAATTTTGAACTTGAATTTCTCTTTATAGTAAGTTCAATATCGAAATGTCCATCTTTCAGAGAAGAACGTTTGGATCCTGACACCCGCGACTTAGTGAGGGGCCATGTATTTGTATACTGTACATCCAGTTTTATCGAATATGATTCAATACATTAAGTATCAACAATCTCATAGTAAGAATATACTCTCTCTTATGTAATCTTCTGACAAGTGTGATGCTTAATTTTCAGTTCCATGTGCTAGTTTCAGGCTCAATAAATAAATAAGATTACAATTTCACACTCAAGCATGAGACTTCTCACTACCATTGCCAAGTGCATAAACAATGTCAAAGATGATGATGTAAATGCCAGCACAAACACTGTTGAGAACGGTAACAGTCTGCCAAATATCCTAGACTAACCCTACATTTTTAAGATGAGCAAGCACAAAATGATGCAGCTCTGGAAAGGCCATTGAGATGCACATTTCAGTTATACATGTATACAAGTCAATAGTTATTTCAGGAATACATACAAGTTCATAGTTATTTTGTTTTGTGTAATATTAAAAATTTTATATATTTTCTAATCTCCGATTGGTTTTTCATCTTTGTGTTGGACAACGCCTCTCACTATCAGATCAGGTATCTCCACAGCTAGCCACGGACCCAGCTGTAATGAATGAAATCAAAATACAGTTAGTAATAGTGATATTGCTAAACTCTAGCTGGCATTCATTTCTATGAATTCAACACTGTGATTCTTTGTTGTACGCAACCCTAGGAATGTTCAAGCTTTCAAATGTCAAGACTTTCCGTGACGAGAAAAATTTGCAAGTCGAGCAATGCACACCCATAAGACAAATGCGGTAAACCCACAAAAAAGGATTTTGATTGTGGCTGGGTTCTCCCGAGGTACCTATATACCAATTATTAACGCAACTGAGCTGGTAGTTTTCAAGAAGAAGTTGAAAATAGCATATTTTAACAAAAATGACAAAAACTATTTGCCAAAAATAAAGAAGTGAAGTTATTGACATGAAATGAACAAATCTGACAGAGGTCCACCAAATGTACGTATATACCAAGTATCATAGCAATTGAGCTAGTTTTCAAGAAGTAGACGAAAATAACATTTTTTTACCCAAAATTAAACATGAACAGCTGCGATGTGATGACAGCGGAGCTAATAAAGAACTGAAACTAAATGAAAAACAATAATGTTAATCTTCCCTAAGCTCTTAATAGTTGGTTAATCTTTTGAGTGGCAAATATTTTTCCCACCAAAAATTTAGTTCAAATATTTTCACATTTTGTAAAATTTAAAATAAATTTCATCACCATTTTGGGCCATACAGACAGTTTCATATATTGCTTTTATTTTTTGATCAAAAGATTTGTTAATTTTTATCAAATTTTTTTGTGACGAGAAGCAGACTGTACAAACTTGTTTGGTAGATGGAGCCAAAATTTGACAATAGCGCTCAATTTGGGTCAAGTCAATGGTACATGTATGTGCAAGTCACATAAAAAGTAGAATAGTCAGAACAAGTTCATCTTGTTTCTGTGCTCATTAAAATCAGTGATCAGAATTTCCTTGTTAAAAATGAACATGGTATGATTCAATCAATTACAAAGCGGATTAGCATTGCACAACTTAATGACAACACTCTGGGAATTGTTCCCTTAAAAAAAAAAGATGCCACAATCGTTGCTAATTTCAAACATCTTTCTTGTTTTCAAAATATGCGCAACCTTCAGTTGATAGTCTACCAATAAAATTTGCAGATACCAGCCAACAACAAGCACATTATTTAACCCTTGTAACATTCCATACACATGGGAGTTCATAAACAATACTTACCCCTAAAGCCATTGCGTGGGAAATCCCAAACTTAGGGACATTTTTCGCCCACAATGGTTTAAAATGATCAGTTAAACAAATTTTTCCTCCTCGGTACATTTTAGCCGTTTTTCCGTCTAGTTCAGGAATTGCTATTTCTGGAGCTGTAGCAGGATATGTAACTGGAATCTATCAAGGATGATATCAAAGAAATTCAATTACATTATGGAGTAGCAAAATTATATTATCATCGAGTCACAGCAAATACTACGGTAGTGCATGGCTACCATCGCAGCGAATATTATAAATTACCCAGAGTGATAATCCACAAAGAATAAATTTAAGAAAAGAACCCAAAAATGTTTTTCAAAATTTGGTGATTTTTTTTTTTTTAGGCATTACCGGTAACTCACATAACTGTGTAGTAAGGTAGTACATGTCCAATACTGCCATACAATCAATAGATGTTATTACCATGACGATACTTACATCAAACTCAATTTCAAATTCATACTTGAGAAGCTCCTGTATATGCCAGCATTTACCAAACCACCGCGTACCATCTTTACTGGATTCTAGTCTAAACCAATCATTGTCTGCAGCCTTGTTGTTTTCTACATACTGATATGAGAAGATAAACTGTTATTCAAATGAGACGAGACTCAGACAACAAAATAGAAAATCTGCAACTGTACTCACTTAAACCGCGGTGGTCTGCGCTGCGCATGTGCGACATTTGTGTTGATAAACATTGATTTTCCCAATCTCAATCTCATGCGCTGGAAAAGTACGAGGTTTGACCTGGGTGCGACTTGCACTGAATACCGCCAGTGACTCCTTTAATACCTTCCAATCACATAAACATTACCTAATTAAAGCTTGGATACGGCTCAGTTTGTACTCATTGATCTGTGCAACAGTCAAAGTCGCCATCTCTGTTCATATGAGACCCATATCGTGCATGCGTGGCGCAACGACTACCCCCCTTTAATCTTATAGGCTTACTTGTAATCCAATCACATAAAAATACCCTATTAAAGCCGAGTGTGTTTAAAGAACGAAGACAGAATATCCATACTGTTTAATCATAACATATATATTCTTCATTCTTCTATAAAGAAACCCACATCCTAATCTTTAAAACAAAGAACAAAGACCACACAAATATTCAAACAAATACATTTAGTGATTTACATGCAGTCATCTTTCATACTGTTTAAACATAACATATATATTCTTCGTTCTTCTGTTTAAATAAAACCCCACCCCAAACTTTAAAACGTTTGTACTCGTTGATCTGCACAACAGCCAAAGTCGTCATCTTTGTTTATACGAGACCCATATACTGTGGAATACTTTATTTTCGCTGGAATTAATATTCGCTGGAAAGGCTTTTTGGGCGTTTTGCTTGGAATTTATTTTCACTGATTTTTTATGAGATTAATGTGAAATATAGGAAAAAAAGTATATTCGCTGGATTTTATTTTCACGAAATCATCCCTTCAGAGAAAATAGCGAAAATAAATTCCAAGCGAAAATAAAGTATTCTACAGTATCTCGCGCATGCGTGGCACGACTACCACCCTTTAATGAGTATGGAAAGAGTTACCATACCATGTCTTGAAGAGGGACATATACAATTGAAAAGGGGGAGGGCAACGTTAGAATTAGAGTTATGGGTGAACTCTCACCCTGGGTATCAGTATGAAAATTTTTGTTTTTGTTTTTTTTATTTATTTTCAATTCATTCATTCTATTATGTAGCTTTGCCATTTATTTATTTTTTAGTCTGACAGCAAAAAGCAAAACTTAATCACTAAATTACGCAGATGTTGCTTCAGCAAATGAGATTCAGATTTTAAACTATTATAATAGTGATTTGCCTAAATCATTATCGTCTAAAGCTAAAATTTTATTAATATTAAAGTTAGTGGACTAATACCTGGCATTTGTCAGACACGTTGACATATGTTGCCAAAATTCGAAAGTTCTCCTACATTTCAATGGATTTTAACCTCACCTTAATTAGCGCTTGGTATTCTTCTTTCAACCGTTGAGGCCATAAATCTTTATCTCTCGGCCCTGCTTTTGTTTTCAGCAAAGGTATACTGCCAAGCGTTTTTTTGGTCGCGGAGTCCACCATTTTGCGATAAACAATAGTACATTTACAGGATGTAGTTTCGTTAGAAATAAATAGTGAGCTTTGCTGAAATATCCTGCAATAAATTAATTAAGATAATTTATAGATTCGAATTGTTTTGCTGACAAATGCTCTATTTTCTCCAAACTAGTTTAATAAACCATCTCTAAATATTGCACTTACTTTACCGGCTTTATAAATATAACCTTTGACCTGCGAAAGATTTAAACTTGACTTGTTTTACTGTCGCGTTAATTATGACTATTATACGTCATTCTTCGAGTTGGTACAAAAACAGAAAATATATTCTGTAAATTCAATCAATTCTACCGATATATGCAAGAAATAAAAAACAGAAACATTTGAATTCATTTGCATAATTATGCAGTCTCGTTTTGACTTCCGTATTTTGAAAATTATAGCGACGGCCATATTGGTTATTGTGTTCTCGGTAAGTGGTGACTGCTGTAATTTTCATCACCATTCATCGACTCTATATCCCATTTTAACTGCTCGCTTGTATTGTAAGTCAAATACGTATTTTATCATCTTAATTGAGTTTGAAATATTTGTTTATAGACAATCTCAGTGCGGGTTTCCTTCAACATTTCCGAAGGTTGTCAAAATGGCCGAATACAGCAAGACCAATAGTTGTTTCCTTTGTGGTGTCGTCAGGAATTTTTCATTATTTCAATGTTTACATGGGAGAATGTAATTGCATGGTCCTCGAATCGACTAATCGTGATCGAAATTTATTTGTTTTGGGTTACAGTAGCCAAACAATATCGTGATTTAAGTTGGTTCCAAAAAAGTACATAACATAAAAACGACGACACAAGTGTTTGTTTGCACGCGCAGGTATTCGCCGGCTGTTCGAATCCAAATAGTGCTCTTGTTTATGTTATTTTTGGAGACGTATCTCGTTGTTATGAGTAATATTGTTATGATGTTCACGAATGGGCCTGGAATATTTGCTTGCGAGGCTTTCACACCCACTATAATAATAATTTACACATTGTAATTGCTACTTGAGTACTTGACTAGACAAATACGAATGATGCGTGGTTTGGTTTCGTCCTAGACGCCCACTCTCTCTGCATGAGAATTTTAACCTGTGATCCCTATGACTGTATCACCTGTGGATGGAGTAATGATTCAATGTAGTTATGCATCACTTCAATTAAAATGTATGGCATGTCCAGTAACAGCCATAAACATTACCCGCAAACATAACATAAAAAAAACCAAGATTTGGTCAAGTCCATTAACTTGTCACAAAATTGTTCCTATGAGAAAGATCAGAATTTGACAGTTTACAGAGAATAGTTTAGCACAGTGAAGTACAATGAATGAAATTACCGTAAAAATCATATTTGAGGCCACAACTTTAATAGAAGCCGCACCCCTAACTTTAGACATTGTTTCATGTTGAAATTGACAAGTTTTGATCCCAGGAAAAAGTCTGCAATATAAGCCGCACCCCAAACTTTCGCAAACCAGCCACCACATATTTCAAAAAAAGATATACCATTTAAAATTTTTCGAACATTTTAATCTTTCCTGAAGCTCTAATCTGAGGATTAGAGTCTCATTAAGGTTTTACGTAGTCATTGACGCTTATTCCAGAGAACAGGTTTATTGTGGGTAGCGTGACTTGGGTAAACTGCGTTTCGACAATGAGCTGTTATCGTCAAAAGTGTTAAATTCTTCTTCAATGCTCAGCTTATCTTTCGAAAACAACTAATTTCTTGATTTAAAAAAAAATCGTGCCATTTTCCCATCAAAATCAAAGCCAAACGATCGCACTACAACAACGGTAAATCGCTTCTGTGTTTCGTTTACCATGAGGTCGCTGAACTACATTAACATATTTAAATGAGCTATGGTAATCACGTTGGCACCATCCAGCGCAGTGTTATCCCCAGAAATTTAAACCACTGTGGCGGCCTAATTTGCATATCATTTACATAATAATGGAAATTGACCAAAGCACATTTACACCCACACAATAAACAACATATATTTTTAAAAACAAAGTGGCAGATATTTATTTGCTTCACACAGTGTTATAAACACTTTTATTTTGGGCACTTTTGTAATATTAATGAGCTCCGTCACAGGGAAAATATTTTTTTTTTTAGAGTCAAAATATTACGTTTCACAATTTAGAAGAGTTTGAATTTAAAAATGAAACATTCTCGAAATGCAAATGCTGCAG